TTGTTTTACTAGATTTGATACTCTCAATTTAAATCTAAACAATTCTTGAATGTTTTTAATGTATACAACAATGATATAATTGTTATATTGAGCCTATGAAGAGCCTACATATATATAAAAGTCGAATCTTGGAGTTATGAATGAAGTAAACACACAAAAAATACAACCAAAATCAACTAGGAGACCTTTTTCTGTGCGCCACGGCGCCCGAGGGCCGGGGCTGCTAAAACCAAAAAACCACACTAGGCGCCCAGCCTTTGCTCCCTTTTGTGATGCGGCGCTTAGGCGCCCCATCTTAGACCCAATGCTTCCAAAACACTTTCTTATCCTTTCCAAAGTCCTTTTTCCAATCAAACTCTCAATCCATGATGAAATTTGATCCCTTAACTTACCGGACTTCAAAACCAACATTATCTAGGTTTTCTCCATGAATCAAATTTCCAAATCACATGGAATTTGAGTCACAAACATAACAAATTCAGTGTTTGCATGAGATATCAAAACTTATATGTGATGATAGCTTGAATTTATTTAGTGTATTATAATTATAGATTTTGGATTTTTTGTGATGGCTGTAGGGATGGAGGGAGTTGTATATAAGCAAGCACAATGAGATGGCTGAAAAGGCATCTATGGTAATGAACTTTGTGGAATGTGCTTTAGCTTATGAGTCAATTGAAGTTGGGAACTATTTGAAAGCTATTGAATTCTTGAAGTCGATGCAATTTGGATTCAAAGATGTCCAAATGTTCTTTCTCAAACCAAAGCTTAATGTGCTGCTCAATTTGGTTGGCTTGCACTATTGCATTATATGGCTTGATGTACCGGTAATTGCTAATATAACTCAAAATGACTCGTCGTTCTTAGACATTTGATGATATTGTGCATAATAGGGATTATAAATCTCTGCATTATAAGTTGCCATAATGATCATATACTATTATAGCATATTTGGTACTTTACAGTTTTGGCTGGACAATATTAAGTAATAAAAAATGTTAGAATTTTAATTAATTTTGCATATCAAGTATGATCTTAGATACCTATTGTTTGACCTGCATTCGTGCATGATTCCGTAATTTAGCTCGAAAAAGAAGTCAAAAAATTTTGGTCATTTACACTCTTATCCAGCATTGTGTATCAAATATAACCTTAGATATCTGTGTTGTTTGACCTGCATTCGTGCATGATTCTGTATATGACACAAACTAGAATCAGTCATATTTCTTTAAGTTCGGTTAGTGTTTTGCTGTGGTAGAAAGGTTTACATCATTTGCTTGTTTTTGGATTTTGTTTATTGGCATCAATATACCTTCCATCTTCAAGCAGACAGAATTCTAGACAGTGTAACTTGAATAGAATCACGCAGTTTGTAGTCTCTCTTCTACACAAATAAAATATTTAGATTTTCTCCCGGAAGGGCATTGGTTCTGCTTTATAAAAGATTTCCCAACAATGGCCATGAAAAGTTGCTCTTGGATTGGGAAAAAGGGCATAGTGGATCGTATTCCTATAGAGTTAACTTGATTAAAGGGATCCATTAAGCCCCATATAAGTGGTAGAACCAAATCCTAATATTATGAAACCCGTATGAGGCGGGTGGTGGGAAAAAGACGTCAATTGCTAGGTTTTGGTACTTTGGTTGACCATTTCATTAATAGTTTTGCTGACTCTGTCTAAAGGTTCCTCGAGAAAGCTTTTGATTTTATGCCCAATAGTTACACTTCGCACATGTTGATTGTTGCCTTGTGGATTTGATTCTTATCCGCTGTTGTGAACCTTATCATTTTTCATTTTTCTTTCTTTTTCTTTTTTTTTTTGCTAAAACAAATATTGTTGTACTTGGTTCGGTACTGAACTTTGACAATCTATGAAGAATTTGATTCATGCATTCAGGGATTAAAAGTTACTTCTTGTATCACCATTCATTCACACCTAATCTTGCATCTTTGCTGAATTTTTTTGCTATTCAATAGTAAATGATAAGAGCAAATTTGATGAGTTATTTGGTGCATATTTTTTGCGGAATATTAAACAGGACTAAACAGTATAGAAAATGATACGAACTTTTTTTTATTTTTAATACTATGATGTCAATCCTCCTTACCAAACAGGCCATTGATGTTTTAACATTATTGTTGTAGTCCAAATTTGTCAAGGAAGCACTACATAGCAACAAGATTACAGAAAGGCAAGTATGTGTCCAATGGTGGAAGCTAGGCAGATGGTTCTATGGCTTTCGCTTACGTGATGAATTGCATTCTCGTAATGCCTCTTTGGGAGACCTAGCGGCATCCAATGCAGAAGTCCTTTGGGTGCTTCATCGAGGTGCCATTCATGAAGTCTTGCGTGTTCAGATATCTGCAGTCAAGCCTACGTCCACGTCATGGTCACATCAAGTTGCACAAAGTGTGAATGAATGAAGCTTCAATAAGTTGAGCAATTATGCATGTGTTTCTGTTTAGATTATTCTCTGATTTATGCTTTTACAAGATAAGTGATGATAAATGTATTGACAATTTTATCCCACTTCGGAAAAGGGATTAAATGGTCAGGAAGAACCCTCCTATCTATCCAATAGGCACTTGTAAATATCAAGTGAAAGGATAAGGAAGCTTTTGTAAATATTAATTTTCTCAAACATTTGGAAACTCTTTTTTACCATCTCAAACATTTGGAAACTCTTTTTTACCATCGTGGCAGTGTCGAGGATTGTTTACCGGTTTCGGGATTGGTACACAAGTCTTCATGTTTGTGTATTATGTAAACTGTCGAATATCATCGTCATTGGAGTGATTTTGTAAATTGTGTTGTTCCTATTGCTTAATGATTATATTATTGTAAATTGTCCTTATTCGATAAACAGAAAAAGTTCTCATTTTCGTATTGCAACCTCCCAGAAATGTCCATAAGATACATTTGTCCTGTGCAATGGAGGATGCTGTAAGTCATTTTCATCAGAATCAAGCCTATACATTTGTTCATTCGTGCGCATTTTTCAGTTTACTTTCACTTGTACTAAGATGTCATTAAACTGTGTAGGCTCGACTGATATCCGTCCACTCTATTGTACCAGAAAGAGGAAACTACCCATTGTATTTGTACCAGAAAGCAGAAACTACTCGAGCATGTTGAAGCATCGGATGTTGAAGCGATTTTCTACGAGGACTATAAGTTTAGAATTTCAGCATACCATAATCTTCAAAACTCTATACACTAAGGCCTCATTTTTTCTTGAAAGTTAATTTGCTTAATCGTGCTGCGGCGAATTTGTACGAGAGACATCTAAATCTCATGCTGCTGCTAAGACTACATTCTCATATGCTGATGGTGCTTTATTGATCATAACAGAGTTGACACTGAAATCAGGCTGAGCGTGTTATAGGTAACTTTTAGCAACTACAAGCGATTGTCAAATTAAGTAACTTAATTTTGAAATCATAGAAAGAACATTTCGATTAAACTTATTTGCTTATAAGTAAACTATTTTGAGCTTAAGCAAACAGCATTATTGATCTTTTTGCTTTTCTTATAGTTTCCTAAACTAGGATTATGTAGGACTACAACAACTTATTCTCTAAAATTTGCATATCGTATCAAAATTCCTATTCATTCTTCAACAAGAAATTTCAGTAATACAAAGTGTTACACTCAAATCATAACATTATTTGGATGAAAATTTATATCTTCACTCAAATCACTCGAGAATTACGGTATAATGTGTATATAATTGCTCTGCATTGGTGGGGACCTGGAGAAAAGCAGCATCTGTGTTAGAACAAGAAAAGTCGACGTTATAATTCCCGAGAAAAATAAATTAAAATTTTATCAATTATTTTGAGCGATCGAACTCATACTAAGATGATATATACCATTTATCTGATAAACTTTGAGGTAGTTAGGCAAAATTAATTTAACTATTGACTGCATAACCTTTAATTGTTTATTTTCAACTGTTGTCTTCTTTAAATATTGCCTCAGCGTTATATCAAGATTATAAGATGTTACGTTCCTTGAATATAAAAATAATAATCAACGTGTAAGTGCTTTGGCTATCCTTCTTAATGAGATTGACATGAAACTTCATGACATGAAATAGTTTCAAGAGCTTAGAAAGTTCAAACAATAATACGAGTGGTCTAAAGCTCTAGCGCAACAAGGTACACACGGAGACACGAAGACGAACAAAATGATTTACTCGCTAATATGCTACATAAGTGAAAGGTCGGAGATCTTCAATGTAACTTTTTTTTATGAAAGCTTATGATGTTAGACCTTATATGTTCTGCGACAATGCTAAATTTTCTTATGATACCAACAACTTTTCAACTACACATTTTATTAACTTTGATCAAAATTTACTAAAAATCTGATTTTAATTCTCATCAAACTGGAGCTTGAATTGAAATAATATCGTCTACTCTGTTCAAAAGTTCGGGATGAAATGTGCAAAAAACACCAGTTAACAAGGAAAAACATGTAGATTCATCAATATAAGTGAAATTCTCAATGAGCCATTGCAAGTGCTACAATTCCTTAAAAGTTCTGCTATGAAGATAGAAAATTCAAAACAAATGGAAAGAGCTATACCGTGGTAAACCCAGTCAAATTCGATAGACATAAGCAACACGTCGTCCTCTTGGTTGTGAATTGCAGAGAGAAAACAGCACCACTACAAGAAGAATCACTACGAGAAATCCATTAATGTTAAGTACACCATCGTCAGATCCTTCACAGCAAACCTTCCCCATAGAATTACCAAAAAAAATTCTTCTGTACTTGGGTGTCTTGAAAACTGGTACTTAAAAGACAATTCAAAAGTCAACTCGAGAAATTAATAGTATATTCTAATGATGTGGAAGCTTCATAGTATTTGTTTAAGGTCTTGGTCTTTTAATAATGTTTTGTGGTAGTTATGCACATGGTCTCTTTTTCAAAATTACAAGTGAGATTCTAAGACGCGTTTTGCACAATAAATTCTTCTTTTTTCGACTCTTTAGCGTATGTCAAAGAAAAAAATCGAAGGTCGCATCGAGATAAATCGTTTATCAATATATGTTAAATGGAAATGCGATTATATATACAACTCGAGCATTCTAATAAATAGATGGACTTGAACCTTGTTTCACATCACCAAGTTCTCTCGTAGGTATGGTTTTTTATATGACTCTACTTTCTTAATTCAATTAGGCTTCATCGAGCGCCGACCTAGGGATGGACGAAGGGAAAATTACACAAATACAACACTAGTGTAATGGACTTAAATTGAAAAATGAGTATAATTTTAATAATTTGCAAGATTATGCAACCTAATTCAATTTTCGTGTAGACTATGTTAAAATCTCTAGGCTTACAATTTTTAACGTGACAAAAGGAAAGTTAAAATGAAAAAACTCTATCCTAAAGAAACCGAACAACATTGTTTAACAGCATAGTGAATAATAACATATCGAATTGGAGGGTGGAAAATTCTCCAGCACGATTTTCATGTTAAAGAATTTGTTTCGTTTACCATCATCGTGAAGTACACATGGTTTGGCCTTCCATTTCGGTCGATTAAACATTTACAAGGTTAAAAAATGAGAGAAAAAATGTATACGAAAATCAAAAAGAGTGTATCAACAAATCACCTTCAATCATTTCTTCCATAAAGAAAGTCAAAAAAAACAATGAATTGTTTCAAAGTTTGTGAACCACGTGGTCCACGCTGAGGGATTAAAAGTAGATGTAGAAAAGTCATTTCCACGGAACGATGACAATTTCAAAGTTGGTACAATAAAACTTAGAAATAGACCTCAAAATTTGTAGGTATGTGAACATATTAAGACGCGTTTGATAAATAACTAGTCAGAGAACGTGCGTTGCACGTTAATTGTTTAGTGTTAAAAATAATTGTATATAAATTTTAGAAAAAATCATTTGTAAATGACAGTGTTGCGGGAAAATGCCTGATCTGCTATAAGAAGCACGGAACAATAAAAATTTACATCTCAATTTCTTATAAAACGTTAAAAAAAATTACAAGTTCAGCTTTTTATTAATAGTCGGCAAGTATCAAGTATTGATCACATGTTTCATCATTTTAAATATATTATCCTTTTAACATAACTATAGATGTAATTTCGTTACTCACTCACCTTTTGAAGCGCAAATTAAGTAGATGACAATATTCACAAAACTCCTATAAAAAAAAAAAAAAACAATGTACTCCATTAAAGATAAAGAAGACTATAACAACTCCATTCTTTTAATTTGATAAGGATTCATTAACACAAATTGGAAAATTTCACGAGAACATCAAAAAATTGCAAGAATAAATTTATTTTATTTCTATCTTGTTATAACTAAAACAAACATTAAAAATATGTAGGAATTCCTTTTTCACGAAAACAATAAAGGATAAAATTAATCAAATAGGGAACCGAAAGAAAAAACAAAACATTGAAAATTCTAAAACATAGGGATTACGAAAATGAATAATAGTACCGCATACGATGCAGGCAAAAAGTTGAGGACTAAGAAATGTGTGCATAAACGCCTGGTTTGCTTAAGGTTAAAAAAAATTATATAAATATTATAAATAATCATGGCATATCCTACAGCTGCGTAACCATTAAGGGCTAAACAAATTACACATTGAAGTCATTGTGTCTCTTATTCAACAACTTGAATATTGGTGCATCATATATAAATCTAAAACAGAAAAGCAACATTTTATACTTTCCATTTACAAACAAGAATAATAACATCAAGTTATACGATTTAGTAGAGCAAGCCAACCAAATTGAGCAGTATATTAAGCTTTGGTTTAACAAAGAACACTTGCACCTTTTCAAATCCAAACTTCATCAATTCAACTGCTTTCAAATAATTCCCATCTTCAATTGACTCATAAGCTAAAGCATGTCCACAAAATTCACTACCAATGCTGCTTTTTCAACCATCTTGTTGTGGGTGTTTACATATGACTTCCTCCATCCCTACAACAAAAAAAATTCGAAAACTACAATTATAATCGATGAAATAAATTAAAGATATTATCATATATAATATATGATATCTCGTTAATAAACTGAAATTATAGACCGAGTGTGTACCATTATCAGTACAACACCAGTTGAGATATAATTTATATCACCATATCAATTGCTCAATTACTAAAAAGCATTATGCAATTGAAAATCTTGTAAATATATTTCGTTGGATGCAAGTAAATAGCCAAATTCAAACTATCATCAGTATACTTACTTTGAGTCTTTGCCATATTAACTTTTTATTTTATCTCTCAAACAAATATACGTACAAGTATATGTGATAAATACATTTAGCCCCCGTTTGAGCTCTTTTTTTTTTTTAAGAAGAATGAGTTTTGTAATAGTGATTTCTGAAAAATGTTAAAAAGTAAGAATTTTTTTTCAATTTA